CCAGGAGCCAAAGCTCACCTCAGACCTCACCAGAAAGGTCATTTTCCCGGGATTTCCAATAAGGGTTTGGATTTAAGCTATGCCCTCAATAACACGAGGTATTAATGATCTCCGTATGGGTAATAGGCTAGTGAACTTAATAGGATTTCTGGCTGATCTGCTAGAATTTGATTCATTTACCAGGATAAACTCAATTAGCCCATCTCGCTCATTTCCAGACCTGATTTCCTTGGAAACTTTCCATCAGCATGTCTCAGGCAGGGACTCTGCTAGCTGGAGAAGCGAATTCTCCTGCCTCTTCTCACCTCCTGACTCCAGATACACAGAGCAGCTCTCCAGCCTTCTCACAGTTGCTACCTGTCCCCATGTGGCTCAGGGGCCTTCTCCGTGGTGCTAGCCCAAATCCTGCAGCAGGAAGGCTGCTTGCGCTGCAGATTAGAAGCCAGATATCACCACTGGCAGCAATGACACTGCTTAAAAGTGCCTGAGGCCAGCAGAACTAGGGGCCTGATCCAGAGTCCACTGAAGTCAATGGGAAGGATCAGAACCTAGGTCCTTAAGGAGAAGGGAAGCTGATAAATGCTTCTTTGGCTTAGGCCACGGATTGATTCTCAACCCCCTGCTGCCCATTTAACTCCTCCCTGCCCCCCCGCCCTACACTAGGAACAGATCAGGGGTGTTTGTTGACCAGGCAGAAAGAGGCTGAAGGAGAAAAATATAGATCAGGCAAAAACAGATGTGCAGAATGATGAAGCACCTCTCGGTGACAGAGCCCAAGCAATCACGTGTCGGCACTGGGACGTTCTTTCCACACTGTGAACTTTGAACAATGCTGCAGCATAGAAGGAGCCCCCCCCACTCCCCAGTCTGTTACTGACCTAACCTACTGACAGCGTCTTGGAGCCATTATCCCACCCCTTTGAGGAGGAAACACTGCATTGAGGGAGAAAGAGTTAACTGCACAATCAACCATAGAACTGGAGGAAAAGGATATTCCAGAACGGAGGCAGGCCCCCTCTGAACAATACAGGGCGGTTTCCTTTGAAGCCTCTTCAGCTGGGACACCTCTGCTCTTATATACCCAGCAGGGAAGGTTACCGGGAGCCCAGCAAGCTCCACGCCGGCCTGCTGCTCAAACCAACACCTCCCCCCTGCCCTCCTACAGGACAGGGCAGGGGATTGCTTCCAGACCCCTTCCTGATGATTAGCTTGGCGCTCACAGCCCTTGCTCGGTAAAGGAATTCCTGGAAGCTGAGGAAAAGCCACCCAGCAAGTGTGGCAGATAAATATGGCATTTCTATGAGCCGTTCAGCTGCTGCTCTCAGAGCACTGCACTCGGGTGGGGAAAATCACCCAGCGAGTCAGTGGCAGAGCTGGGAACTGTCTCCAAGTCTCCCACCCCCCTGTTCTAACCACCAGAACTCTGCCTTCCTCAAGGGCAGCCAAAAATCCAGGCCTCTTCTCTCCAGAGGATGAAAAGACTGAAAATGAAACCATATGGACTGTACAGAACTTTGTAAAGATGCTGGTAACCATGGCGACAAGCCCTGGGTACATTCATCTGCCATCCCCAGCACAAAGAATTGAGCACTAGTTACATAACGCCAGTCACAACAGTGAGTCAGGCGCAACGAGCGTTATATAAACCCCCTTCTCTCTGCATCCCTGCCCCCTGCATAACCCGCCTGGGATAGGCTCAGTCGAAACATCACAGAGAAGGGATGGAGCAAAGTTGGAATCTTCTGCTTCAAGCCACTGCAGGGGCCTCTGGCTTCCTCTCACTGAAACCCCTTTCATTAAGACTCTCGACAGAAATGTTACCACACGACTTCCAGAAGTCAAGACGGTATCAATTCAGCAGTCACAGTTCACTTAGGGCTCGTCCAGACTGCAGAAGCAACAGTCTTGGGGATGGGGTTACCGCACGATAGCCCCCAGACGGTGTTATTACAGCGTTTGATCTCTCTTGTGTAGATGAGACCAAAACAAGTTATAAGCATCTTCCCTGCCAGCACCACAGCTTCCCCTGGGAAAATGAGCCCTGATTCTGCAGTAGAGAGATGCCCAGGTCCACCATGATGCTGAGGGCTAGTCCGGCGATAGAAACAGACAGTCTTGTCTGCTCTCCAAGCCCAGGCTTGGTCTCCGAGCTCAGCTCTTGGGCCTTTTGCATTTGAATTACAAAGCTACTGCGGAGCCCCCTGACTTCTCTTCTCCCTGTCTTCCTCCCCCACGTCCAGGATGTTCGTGCCTGGCAGAACAGGCAGGCCGAGGAAAAACAACTTACTGACCTACTTTGAGCTGAAACGCCTTGAATTTTATATAATGTGATGGCAAAACATCACAGTCAGAGAAAAAGAGGGCCCAGATGCAAAGGGCGGGCTGGAGGGCAAGAAAAATGGATCCACTACGCCCATGCGTGCAAGGCTCACAGTACATGGGGTTAGTATGTCACATCAACACTTATACCATACCCACCCCCAGAGAGGTGCTGGGCTAACAACCACCATCAACACCCTACTATATGGGATGACTAAGGGCCAAACCATCCCCTATGTGGGCTGCTCCATGCCAGGATTTGCAAGGTTCCCGACTGATCATTCCATCAGGGACCTGGGTTTGCCTGCTCACAGCAGAGGAGGGGATCCCCAGAACTGCCTCCTGGCTTCTCTGGATAGCCACCGCAGCGCTGCCCCCCACAACTGGGATTGCCCGTCCTGCCTCTTCGGAAGGCTTGGGGGGAACTAGTATAAATGAGAATGCCAGCAGGTCAGCTTTCATATCCAGCTGGCATTCAAGTTGATGGAAAGCGTCTTCCCCTGTTCTGCCCACAGTGCAGAATCCACAGGCCAAAGGGTGGGAGGGGGGTGGAAATGTCCTTTCACAGCCCCTCTGCATCCTTAGCTTTTGGCTCATCTTTGCTCACAGAAGTCAAGAGGAGCGTTTGACCCCAACAGATGAACCAAGAGTATTATTCACTGGGGAGCATGTCTAATGGTTAGAGCAGGAACCTGGAAGCCAGGAGATCTGGGTTCTTCTCCTGGCTTTGCCACTGACCTGCTGCGTGACCTTGGGAGAACTCACATCCCTTCTTGGTGCTTTAGTTTCCCACGCTGGGAGTAATATTTGCAGGGGAGTTGGGGGACTTAATATTTGTAAAGTGCCATGGAAATGGAGAGTGACATTGGATGTGCCAAAGCTGGGATTCTAATTGCAATAATAATTTGCTCCTCTCTCGTCCCTTCCATCCAAGAATCACAAATATGAATGGTGCTAAACAACACCCCCAGGAACATGCAAATATTGTTATTCTCCCTCCCCTCACACCCTCTTCCCCCCCCCCCCCTGTGGAAAAAACTGAGGTACAGAGAAAACATTCAAATGTAATGACAATTAAACAGGGATCTCTAATGAGCACACAGGAGCTAACAGTTTGCACCACTAATTTTTAGTGAGCCATCTCACTGCCTTTTAAGCCATGTTCCCACTGGGGAGGGAGCAAACATTCTGTATCAGGAAGGCTATCACCTGTGTTTTTTTACATGGTGCCTGGCTTCTTGTATGCCAGTGGTTCTCAAACTTTTGTCCTGGTGACCCCTTTCACACAGCAAGCCTCTGAGTGCGACCCCCCTCATAAATTAAAAACACTTTTTTATATATTTAACACCATTATAAATGCTGGAGGCAAAGCGGGGTTTGGGGTGGAGGCTGACAGCTCGCGACCCCCCCAGATAATAACCTTGCGACCCCCAGAGGGGTCCCGAACCCCAGTTTGAAAACCCCTGTTGTATGCTGATTGTATCACTAGTTGGTTTATTAGGATGCTGGGAAGTATTTGGGAGAATTTTGCAAGCAATAGAAATGGGATCCCAAGAGAGTCAGATCAGCTTGCAGTTCCCACCAAGCCCCGAAAGGTGAAATTCTCAGCATACACAGGGACGTAGGTGCTGGAACTAGGTGGGCTGCCGCACGCCCTGGCTTGGAATGGTTTCCATTATAGACAGGGTTTACAGTTTGATTCAATGGCTCTCAGCACCCCCACTATACAAACTGTTCCAGCCCCCTTGCACAGGGATGCCATTAAAATATGCGGCATCCTTGCAAGAAGCGGGGGCGGGGGGGAAGTCCCATAGCCAGTGGCAGGACTTTGCTTTGGGCCCCACAGAATGACAACGCAGACAAATTATGTTCAGAAGAGAAATGGCATCACACACAAATAGAAGCCCCTGTAACATGCCAGGCCGGTTGGGAGCCATGGCTAGCTAGCTGCCACACAAGACCTAGAGAAACACAAAAGATCATGCAATGCACAATGAAACAGCCTGTATCTGACCCTTCCTGGATTTAGTGGTCAGTTCACCCCTTCATCTTCCCTTCCAGAGATATCCTGGTGTTTCAGCCTTTCCCCTTCTTGTTCCCCCCCCCCCCGCCCCACACACACAAAATGCAGAGCCGCAGAATAACCCAGCTGCAATTCCTGAAGCAGCAAATGCCACAGCCCTGAACGACAGAAAGTAGCGAACCGGTTGGAGGAGGAAGGGAAAAAAAACCCAAAACAAGTCCACATCAATACATTAAGATGCCCCCTCTGCCTCCTTCCCAAACCAAAAATCCAAGCAGATCTGCAACGCACAGCAACAGTGGTGCCTTGCTCAGAGCCAACGATCATTTACTGCAATTGCATCACAACCGGAGATGCATGCACCTAAGTTTTGCTGGTGGGTAGCTTTTTCCCCTGCCTAAGCATGCATGGATAATACAGCTATTTATGTGCAAACAACCTGGCATCACTCGGACAGCTACTGCCTTCCCCTGTTTTCCTGCGATCCGATTTAACGCCTCTCAAATCCCTTTTGATCTTAAGCTTCCGAGTGGGTCTTTTGGCCATTTTGCTCCCCGTGCAGAATACCTCCCTCCTCCTTTCCCCTGTGCATGACCCAAATTCCAGCTGTACATTCAGTGCCCTGTACAAATAGAGAGAGACAGAACATAATGCTCACCTCATTTATTGACAAGAATGGTCAGCGGCTGAGATTGCAAATAAAAGGATTAATCTTGAAGAAAGCAAGAAGGGGGGAGGGAGAAAAGCCCAAGTCAGCAGCCGCCAGTGCAAGGAGCTAGCGCTGGCAGGATGTTCAGCTTCTGAGCTACTTTGATTACATTTTTTTGTTTTTTGCATGTGCAGTAAGAACGATGGAGCCTTCCCTTCAGCTAAAATCATCTGCTTTAAAATGGAATCTCTCCTCCCATCTTCTTTCCATGAGCCACAGTGGAGGGGGAAACACCATAGCCTGGCTCTGGGGGATTTGGGGGACCTATGTGCCCTTGTATTCTGTAGCCATAGAGAAGCCCCTTAAATCCCTCCCACCGAGGAGGAGTTTCACGATGACAGATAGGAAATCTTACCAATTGAAGCAAAAAGTCACCCAGTTTACAGCCTATTGGAGAGCTTGGGAGAGAAAAAGGGGCAAGGGGACATGCCTTCCCCTCTAGGCCCTGGCATGGGGTGTCAAGTGCACTAGTCCTCTTCCCAGTGCTGAAGCTGGGACCCAGGACCTTTTTTTCAATTGCATGAGGGCGTCCCTGGTCTCTTGACACACCTCTAAGGAATCTGGCTATGTTTGTGACAATTTGGCCGTTAATCTCCTGAAAACACATTACTGCCAAGATTCTTCCAATTCATTCATAGGGTTTTATGAGTGTTGCCAACTCTCACGATTTCATCGCAAATATTGGGTGCTTTTTGTAAAGCAGTAGCTCTTGGATTCACATGATTACGTGAGAATCTCAGCTGTCATGTAAAAACAAAAGTCAATTTCTGGCCCTCCTTGTTTGTGCAGAAGAGTTTGAAAACATGACCCCCTGAAAAATATGACACTAAAAGCAAATAAAAAGATCTTATGAGTTTGAGGGATGGAGGGGGGCTGACTCATTCGTTTTGAGTGCGTGAGGATGGCAATATACAAAATGCAAACTCTTCTGACAAGCCAGCTATCTTTGCCTTCACCAATGGAAAGGAATGTTCTGAAAACAAGGCCTTTTCTTTAATGGTCAGACCAGGCAACCAGCAGCCAGGATTCCTGGGTTCTACTCCTGACTGCTGCCGACTCACTGTGTGACCTTGGGTGAGTCACTTGGCATTTCTGCGCCTCGGTTTCCCTGCTCTGTAAAATTAGGATAATTATATTCACCTATACAGGAATGATTGGAGAATTAATTCTGTTTATAAGGTGCCTTGAGGAGATTTTTTGTAAAATATTATTATTTTAAAGGGAGTATCTGGATTAGATTTTGGGGGGGGGGAAAGATGCTGGCCCCTTTATATCTGCTAGCTGGTTCCCCCATCAGTTTGTACTACACTTAGTATATTATCATGGTGTCCACTATGGCTATAGAAAAGTTTTTCTTATATGGGCATGACATTTAAGGCATCCAAAATCAAAGAGCAATAATGAATAATCAATTACTTGTGATATAAAGTAACTGAAAGTGTGGAACTGATTATTTTTCCATCCAATAATCAGTAGCATGGAAACAATTCCTGCTCCACCTATGGATCCACGGCTTGCCATGAATTACATTTTCCAAATGATGTTAATGATTTATTTTGTCTCAAGGACTTCTGACCAAATGTGCTCAGTTTACAAGTAAAACAATGCTTTTTCTAACTACCAGTGCTGCAAACCTAGTAATTCTGATCCAGATAAAGTCTATCATAGGTGTTGGTAGCACGTTGCTGACCTCTCTGCTGGATTCTGGAGCTGAACTGTAGTAAACAGTGCTTTTGATAATGTGTGAACAAAAGAGAATGCAGCTCACTCTCCGGTCGCTAGATGCATTGGCTGTGAAGGGCTAATATCAGCAGATATGACTGATACACACAGGAGATAGATTTGTGAAGCAAGTAGATGCAATTCTGAAATTGTCAGTTTTCTGACTTCCCCATATTATTAGTAAATTACCCCTTTTCCTAGACAGCCAAAGCTAAATTGGAACAGGGCTTGATCCTTTCCCCACTGACCTGAATAGTGCAGGATCGAGTCCAGAGAGAGAGCTCTAACAACTCTGCTGCTGGTTCCCATTAACTTGAAGGAAGAGCCATGAAAACAGGGGGTCTTTCAAATCATCCCTTTTTTGTTACTAAAAATTTGAGTTACTAAGTGAAAGTAAAAAACAGTGGATACTACATACTCCAAATCAGCATACAGTGTACCTACATTGGATAATCTGCTGTAGTTGTAATTCCTGCAATAATTCACCAAATAGTTTAATCTGGGGAAAGCAGGAGTCAGAAAACCTGTTGGATAGAGTAACTGGCCCAAGAACAGCTGCTTTACAAACATCCAACCTCATAACTCCCCGGGGGAAGTAGTAGTATCATTCCAGGCACAGAGTTGTTGGTTTTTTAAGTGACTTGGCTAATATCATAGAGCAGTTCTGCAATGGAGGCAGGACTAGAATCCAGGAGTCCCGACTCCCATTCCCTCCTCTAAGTACAAGACAATATTCATCTCCAATTCTCTTTGTTCTTTGGCAGCTCCCATTATTCCAGTAACAGGATCAGGGAATGAAAAGCCCTGATACACCAGCACATGGCTATTCCTGGCATATATCTAGTGAGTGCATAATTAAGTGATAACCCTAAGAGGCCTAGCAATGAGGAAAAGGGCTAACGAGCACCAAGCCTGTGCACTTGTGTGTCACTTCCACTGCACAACCCCTGTGTCTCTCAAATCGGTGTTTCAATCCTGGAGCTAACAGAAGCAAAGAAACAGCCCAGAACTGTTGCCAGCAAAATCATTTTGACAGAAAATGTATTAAGAGTTTTTTAATAATCCATCATGGCAAAGAGCCCACAGCCGTGTGTTGTGGTGACGACGGATACACTAGGGTGGCCAGACATCTGGGGAACTGCAGGACAGTTCCTTGTTTATGAACATCAGTTCTGTGCTTCCATCTCCGTTTCTGAGGGATGAGGGACAGGGACAGAGAGAGACGTGATAAGAACAATGGAAGGGATCATATAAATGCAAATTATGATTTACAGTCAGTTGTATCTAGTAGTTAGAACAGGGAAGGCTGGGAGTCAGGACTCCTAAGTTCTACTATTCCTTGCTGTAGGTGCATGCGTGGTCCAGGGGTTAAAGTAGGGGAATGGCATCTTTTCTCAGCTCTGCCATGGACTCTGCACAGCCTTAGGTAAATCTCTTCTCTGTGCTTCAATCCTCCTGTCTGAAAAATGGAGACACGCCTACCTGACAGGAGGGAACGGGGATTGGAAAGCTCAATTCATTGTTCGCAACCTGCTTTGGGTAAGATGTGTAAGTGCATCAGGCACCCCACCACTATTGAAATTCAACGGGAGGGGGGTGCCTAACTCCCATAGGCTTTTTTTTAAACTTCACCCTTCAATGCCACTGGACGAAAGGCATCATACATGGATAAGGGATTCTATGAAATATTGTTATTGCACAGTGTGTAATATGACAGATGAGGAGCTACTTACCCCGTGGGGTAGAGGGGAACATCTCATGCTGTGGTTAAGGCATCACATACAAAAGCTCTGCTTAGCTGATGCTTAATTCAGATCCTCTCCAGGCACCAAACCCTTGTGTTATAAGACACAAAATGTCAACCACTTAGTTTTCACTCACTGCCTTCACCCTATGCAATAAACAACTTTGAATGAGATGTGGCTTTTCAAAGGTGACTCACTAACAATAGTCTTCATCCTTGTTTATGTCAGACCACTGGCTTGATTTTTCAGAGATTCTGAGCATCCCCATATTGAGATCAACGAAGGCAGAAGGATCAGGCCCATTGATATCACATGACTTGAACCTCTGGCAGGTCTAAACTCAGGGCTCCAGAAGTGAACAGCAAATTGCAGTAACTCGCTTCACCACACAGGGCCAAATCCAGCACTTCTGTAAGCTGATCAACCCCACTGAACCCAATGAGAGTTGCTCCAGGGTTAAATCTGGCCTTTAGTGCACCATTTAAAGACCAGATTGGGATTTCCGTAGCTGCACCTTGCACCACTGGTTCATACTGGGCCTTTGGCTCCATAAAACGTGCCCTCTCCTCTGTGTGCCCCAGGTGCAAATGAAATTTCATGCAGGATTCTTTGGCAGGCACTGGAGAGATGTTTTGGGATGGTTGTCCCCACCCTCTCCAGGAAACTCCCGCTTTAACCAGACTAAGGCCACTATCTTGCAAGTCATTCTATGTGGACAGTCTCTTGTACCTGCACGGAGCTTGTGGCAATTCCTAGCCTCCCACATCTCTAACTATTACAGGGGAGAACCCAAGAGTACTGACTTCCCTGCTCTAACCCACTAGACCCCACAGCCAGGGGGACAACCCAGGAGTCCTGGCTCCCAGTCCCTCCACTCTAA